AAGAATTCAGGCTTGTATAAAGAGCAAAGGATACCCAACTAAATATTAAAAGTAGTTAAAATTTTAAATTAAAATTACTACATAGAATTTGAGTAATAAAATAAAATATTTCGCATCAGAAATTTAGTGATCAAAGAAAATTTTTTAATCGAATTTCATTTTTATATATTTATTCGAGTTCTACGGAACCTAGATGCATGGGATTTTGCATAGATATTTACAAGAACATAAACCGCAAATGATATAAATTTCATATATGTTTATTATGTACACTTTTGCGCAATTAACAAAAACAAGTGTTCCGAAACTTTTGTCCAGGTACTGTACATTGCATTTTGCTGCCATAAATGATGCTCAGACTCAAATTGAACAGGATTTCCTTGCAACAGAATATGGTATCCAAGAGAAGCCTCCTATTTCCTTAGTAAATTGGTATAAAATTGGTTTAAAATCAATATTATATTACTATACATTATGTTTTGGGTAATTAAAAAGTGCACGGTTACACTCAATGCGCAAAAACTAATTGTCTTTTTTGAAATTTTAAAAAAGTCTACGATATAAAATGGATAAATTTGATAGTGTTAACAGGGTAAATTTATTATATTAAACCCTTGAGTAAGCTTAATATAAAAAATTATTGGGACCTCAATTAAAAGTTTTCGGAGTCCTGCTTCGCATAATAATATTTTATTTACATTTAGTAATCTAATTCTTAAACAAGCTTATGGTTTATGGGAGCGTTACGTCAATTTTGAAAAAAAAAAAATTTTTTTTGATAAGAGACCATTTTGGCACAAAAAAATTATCGGGAAAGACATTAAGATATTTTCTTTAATCTCTTGGATCATATTGTCTGGATTGTTTCAAAGATCGTCTACCTCCTATCTGCAAACATTCTCGTCACTTAAACTCTTGATAAGCACAATACAAGACACTTTTTTATTAAAAAAAATTTTTTCAAACAAAATAATTAATGACGAGGGTTTCTTAAATTCACTTTTTTCCAAGCAAAATAATTAATGATTTTTTCAATTCGTTTTTAAACAAAATAATTATTAAACAACAATGTGTAATTTCATTACTACGTTGTTTAATGTCAATAGAAAAAAAATATTTTCTATATGTTGCCACTGAAAAAAATAGGAACTAATCTAACCGATCCACCTTCTCGTTAAAAAAACAAAAAAAAAACAAACCTCTTTTTAAAAATGCAAAAATTATTGTTGAAGGCGCATCGCCATCACTATTTCAAAATTTTAAGTCGTTACTTAATTTTATCCCATCCTTTTTAAAAAAAATTCATTATATGTAACTTTTTTTCAAAAGCGAAAAATTTTGAAAGCCTAGTTAGTATAGTATAAATACTAACAACCATTTTAATTTAGTGAAATATAAGATTTTACAAATTACTATACAAACAATAATCATTTAAACAAAAAGGCAAAAGAAGAGGATCTCGTAATGATAATAACACAAGACTAATATATTTACTTATTAATACTTATTGTTAATATTAGAAAAGGCTATAAATTTCCCAATGATTTTTCCTTCTAATAAATAAAAAGCAACTTTGTTAATTTAGTCAATTCATTAAAACCAACGTTTAGATTATATGGTTATATCGTTTAATATTAATATTAAAAAAAGTTGTTACGCACACATTTATAATTAAACTGATATTTGTCAATTTTCTGGCTGGTAATGAAGTTGTTCTGGTCCCATTTTAAAAGCTAAAGTCATAAGATTATGTCACAACATCTGGCTTCCTATATACACACCCTTACAAAAAGCATCGACTCACTTGATGATCCGCCAAAATAATCGAATAAACGGGTAATACAAATACTCGTTTTTTTACTAAGCAAATCGATGTTGTGTATTAGTGAGAAAATGGTTATTGAAATGACACTCTAAAATATCACATTGGACTGATTGTTATTGATAATTATAAAAGTCAAATTAAAATTTTTCGAAAATTTTTCGAAAAAGTAGCACTTGAGCTATTTTAAGATACAATATTTTAACACATCTTGGAAACTTAGAAAATGTTGTTTCGTTTGTTCTCAAATGTATATATACACGTTCATAATTATTGATCGAATATTCATGGAGCATTATTACAAAACGTAAAAAAATTTTCATCAACAGTTTGTATCATATTTTTACATAATAAATCTTTATTAAATTTATATCAAAAGTATCAAAAAAGTATAAATATTTCATTCATTTATTC